CTTTTAGCCAACATGTTAATATTTATCCAGTTCCATGATAGTAAGTGTTCATTAGCAATGCTCTTCCAAAAATTGTCTTTGTTAACTCCAAGATAGATGGAATTATTCTCAGTATAATTTTAAAATTTAGTATATTTCATTTTTTCTATAATTGATAGCCATGTATGGCACACGCAGTATTATCAAGCCACATTAGAAACAGAATTCAATATAAATTAGAGTTTATTTATACAGTAGTTGTTGAGGAAAGTTAAAATTAATGGCATACTGGACAGGATAGGGCATGGGATCTCTGACCTTTGTTTTCAGTTAAAACAGAAAACAGGGAACTGATACTACTGTTTTGTGAAATGTCTTGTATGACACTCTGGCACTGACTGCACTCCTCCATTATATTGGTATGATTTACCTATCACTGATATTTGCTGTAAATTCTGCTTATACCTATGAGGGTGGTAAAAGTCAACTATGACAAGCTACACCTCAATTTACCAGTAAGGATACAGTTCTCCTGTGGACTCTAACAAATCTAGTACAGAAGGAGGCACTCAGTAGGTGATGATGATGATGATGATGATGATGATGATGATGATGAAATGCAATAACTCTTTTTATATGAGTTTATTTCTGAACTGCTGGATATGTATACAGTGACTGAAGCCTGGATATATTTGCTAATGCAACAACTCACTATCTAATCAGTCTATTCTCCTCTCAAGGACATTTCACTTTGATTCTCATGCTTACTCACCTTAACAAACAGAAAATGAATTCAGAAATGAATAATTGAGCTTATGAGTGGAAGCTCAAGAGAATCCTGCTCTGGACACCAGGACAATAGTCTCTATGGAAATGTGAAATCTCTGTAAGCAGACACTGGGTTGCTTTTAGCTGCTTAATGTGGTTGTTTTCATGCCTCTTGATTGTTCCAGCCTCTGAGCCACCAGAAATGTTCCATTTTTAGATAAGAGAATCTTTTTCATGAAAATAATACAAATAGGGCCCACTCTGGCTTTTGCAATTTCAAAAGATATTTAAAACCAAATGGCATATTACAAATTTTAGTTATCATCCTCCTCCTTTATCTATTTTTTTCCCCAAATGTCATTTCTACTAATTCAGTGTTTTTCTAACTTCCTCCTGTGATCTTTCATCTCCTTTCATTTTACCTTTTCTTTCAGTCTATATGGAAATTAAAGTGAGTCAATTTTTGAGTTCCTGCTGTTTCAATGTTTTATGCTGGACTTTCTTATGCCTCCCCTTCATCTACCCAACTAAGCTCTGTGCATTTTCCTTGCTCTGACTTTTTGTTGCCAGTATATTCAGCATGCAATGTTCATTTCTACAATATATCTGGCTTCTATTTCTGATTCAACTTCTACTTACTCAAGTCTCTCTTGGACTCTCTATTTTTCTTGTCTCTATTTGGAAAATCTGAGAAAAATAAACAGAGTTTGGAGCCTGTCTAGTTAGGATTGAAGCTTTGGCAAAGTTGCTTTTTTCAAGTCTCAGTTTCTGTCTCTGGAAAAAGGTATGTTTATAGTTATTAGTCCATGAAATCATTATAAATTTGTTGATTTGTAGGGGAAATACAGTCAGTACTTTAAGTGTTTAGTTACCATTTTTGTTTTTCCTGTTTTAAAAAAAAACAAAAAAGTGTATAGCTTCTTCCAGTCTTTTTTTTTTTTTTTTTTTGACAGAGTCTCGATCTGTTCCTCAGGCTGGAGTGCAGTGGCGCAATCTCTACTCACTGCAACTTCAGCCTCCCAACTTCAAGGTATTCTCTTGCCTCAGCCTCTCTAGTAGCTGGGACTACAGGTACCCGCTACTACATCTGGCTAACTTTTATATTTTTGGTAGAGGTGGGGGTTCACCATGTTGGCCAGGCTGGTCTCGAACTCCTGACCTCAAATGATCCATTCACCTTGGCCTCCCAAAGTGATGGGATTACAGGTGTGAGCCACCACGCCAGGCCTATTTCAGTTCTTTTGACTAAAACACATGTTTAATCTCTGGAAATAATTTATTTTTATTTTACTTTTATTCCATTGGTAGTGAATTTGTAACCAAGAATGGGTATGATGATTTGTGAAATTATTTCCTTTACTATATAGGCATATTTTTATGTGCTACTTTGTGTATATCTAGCATATATTAAATAAGAAATAATTGTTCAATGGTTATATTGCAATGCAAATGGATGTTTATGTAAATTTAGTGCCGTATCACAAATTTGCTAGCAATATTTTTTCAATAATCTATACACAATGTCAAGAAAATATTTTTGTGCTCTCTTTACTATTTGGAGAGCACTGAATTAGGAAAAAATGCCAGGAATAATAACAATAGCTAATACTCACTATTGGCCAGGCATTGTCCCAAGGGCGTATTTTATCATCCTCATAACAGTCCCAGGAAGCTGGACCAGTTGTGATTTTTATTTCACAAATGAAAAAAACAGATGCACAGTAAAGGTTATTTCTTCCCGAAAGTCACATGGTTAATGGCAAGAAAAAGGGGCTTGAAGAATACCTGTCTGGCTTTGGAGTCTGTCCTCTCAGCATGCAGACAGCCTGTTCTCAGGGAGCTTACAGCCTGTTCTTAGGATTGTGTTTGTCGCATGTGACATAGCCATTATTTTGTCTTGTTTACCTATTATAAAATCTACTTTGGTAGATATGAGACTGTGAAGTTTTCTGCATTGTTTACTTTCTGCTTTGGTAGACACATTTGCTCATTGCATATATGTGGTGATACAAGTTTTTCATTTGATAAAATCTTCACTTTTCATTGATTTTTGTTCTCAAGTTTTGTTAATTTGTTATAATACATAAACTTTATTTAAATTAGAATTGGTTGATTTGGACAGGAGAAAAAGTTCAGTAAATGTAATCTTTAGCCTTTTCTCAATCTGCCTTCACCGTGAGAGTGCCAGGTGTCTGAGTTCAGCCCTTTCTCTGAAATAGCTCTTTCATTTGTAGTGAGAATTGATAAGTGTTAATTATCACTGAAAGTGAGATTAAAGCAGTGAAAAGTTCCATTAAGAAGAATTAATTACTAGGTTGGCATTTAATGGAAGTTCTTAAGCAAATAATAAGATGCCATGAGCATCTTATTACATCGCGCTACTGACATTTGTAGTTTAAGATCATGATTATCAAAGTAATCCGGCTTTACAGCAGCTTCCTCCCTGCCCCCAGGAGTGTGCACTTTTCTACACCGATACAAGAGTGAGGGTATTCTCCTCAGTCTTGGTCCTATCCGTCAGTGTCTTGCAGCACATCAGAGAATCACCCTATTCATCCTCCAAGTCCAGATATGCTTCCTCTATATCTGGTGAACAATCTTTGTTTTTTTTTTTTTTCTGCAAATAAATACAATGATCTACTCAGTATATATTTATGTCAATATATAACATTGGAAGGAAAGATTTTGGGCAGAGAAGAAGGAAAAATGTATTTTGTTCTTCCAATTTCTTTGTGTCCAAAGCCATAGACCACATCCTTCATTGAATCTGATGATTTAAAATGCCCCAAATGTCTCCAGTACTTACCAAAATGCAGTATATTTACTTATGAAATTTCAACACCTTCTCTTCTCCCCCCAGTCATGGTGTATTTTGCCTCATGTAAAGATCTTTAAACTTTTTTGACTTTTGCTTCTTGTGACTTGAGAATTACCAATAAAGAACACATGCAAAAATATTTTACCCAGTAAGTCGGCACAATGTCTTGACATTGCATTAATTTTTTAGTTCCAAAATTTTCGTAAGATCTAAAGTGGAAAGATTCAGATCACTAGATGCAATACTAAAAGGATACAAAATGAACCAGGCATGACTCGTGCCCTGGAAGAACTTGTAATAAAATTTCCATGTTTCTACATGCAAAAGACATCTCCTTATTCAGAGGAAGTAATATCAATTGGGGAGGATCAGATGTAGCTACAGGACGCAGGTTATACCAAAGAGAGAGACCCTTATTCTTCCAGATAGACCAAAGCTATAGCTGGAAGAATATTGAAGACTTCTCCATGAAAGAGAGGACCTCCTAAGCAAGCAAGAGACCCTTTATCTCCTGCAATTCAATCATAATTATTTCTAGGCACTGTGTTCCAGAGTTCCAGAAAACCGAAAGGCAGAAACATTCAGGATAGAACTGGGGATGACGGATCTTTCCCTTGGACTGATGTGCACTCCAGGCAAAGGGCGATACTAAAGCAGAAGAATATATTTCAGGCTGCATTTAAAATTCCAGGGACTTGAGTGTCAAGTAAAGGAGTTTGGATAAAGTCTGAAGGAAGGGGACAGAGAGATAATATTTTTGAGCTTTGGAAATATTAACTGGGAATTAGTGTGTAAAATGAATTGGAGGCAGAATGATAGACAAATTAGGTGACAGCAAGGTAACTAATGGATTGGTGGCTTGTATGTGTGCTGCTTAACTCAAAGTCTTCTGCATTGATTATTTTTCTTTTTAATAAGGTGGCGAATAATTTTTTAAGAGGCTTGGTTTACTTTTTAAACTTTTTTATTTTATTTATAAGTCTGTAATAATTCAGAGAGAGGCATTAATGCAAGGAAAGCTTGGATTTGCTTCACCACAGGATGCCATACACTACTTTATGGGAAGTTGTAGAATTTACAAAAATTCTCAAAAGCAAATTCATTTTAATTCATTTAGTCTTTCTTTCTTTCTTTCTTTCTTTCTTTCTTTCTTTCTTTCTTTCTTTCTTTCTTTCTTTCTTTCTTCCTTCCTTCCTTCCTTCCTTCCTTTTTCTTTCTTTTCCTCTTTCTCTCTCTCTCTCTCTCTCTCTTTCTTTCTTTTGAAATGGAGTCTCACTCTGTCACCCAGACTGGAGTGCAATGGTGTGATCTTGGCTCACTGCAACCTCTGCCTCCCGAGTTCAAGTGATTCTCCTGCCTCAGCCTCCCAAGTAGCTGGGATTACAGTTGCTCACCACCACACCCGGCTAATTTTTTGTATTTTTAGTAGAAACAGGGTTTCCCCATGTTGGTCAGGCTGGTCTCAAACTCCTGACTCCGGTGATCCACTCTCTTCATTTTCCCAAAGTGCTCAGCTTACAGGTGTGAGTCACCACACCCAGCCATTCACTTAGTTTTTCAAGTTACATCCATTACATAGGATCATGTAGGGTGGGGTCAGGTTAAAGAAGAGAGATAGCCTCACCATCAAAACGACAATGACATCTTGGTGTATGTTCCAAGTTACAGAATTTGAAAAGTTGCTATTTCTTCTTCACTCCTCCTCAGCCACACTCAAAATGCTGTCATAAATTCATGCTGCTTTTTGATGGTGGAATCAAAAGCCTGTGTGTGTGTGTGTGTGTTTTCAGGCTGGTGTGCTATTTAATCCTTATAAAACAAGATTGTCTCATGTTTTTATTACTTATTTTACTCAAATTGTCATTACAGATACTTATTAAGGAAACATTTAGACCAATCCTGGGGTGATTAGAGAACAGGATTGGCATAAAGAATGTAACTTTTACTCTGGTTGGCCTCTTACTACTAAAGGGTTTCAGTGATTTGACAACTCCAGTAATATCTCTGTATCTCACCATCTGGCAGCATTTCACAGTGCCTGTTTGATGAGTAAGAGGTGCTACAAGATCATTACGAGGAAATTTCAGCACCAACAAACAGTTTCAACAATTGTTTATGACCATGGTAGTGCTGCAAACAGACACATACACTGAAATGCGTTGCTTTGTTTTAGAAACACAGGTACTTCCTGCTGTAGTTTTTAATTGTTTCAGTAATGCATGTATGTCTAGCTGCACTCTTTTTAATTCATTCAACATCTAGCATTTAGTGACCCTGTCTGATCTGAACAATGCTTCTCTTCCAGGGACTAATACAATTGTTTTAGATTATTGTTTCTTCCCTGCAGCTTCCAAAATAATCAATAACAAATTACCTATTTCATTTAGGAAACAGATATTTGCTCCCTTGGAATCCAAATTATATTTAGATGTTTTTATTTTTGCTGTATTCCATAAGATCCCTGACCGAATAGATGGTCAGAGAAGGTTATAACTTATGTGGTTCTAACTCCCATGTCTCCAGAGAAGAACATTCTGCCATCCTAAATTCTGCAGCTAGTGAGACTGGCAGATACTTATTTTTAATGCTAGAGACTCCTTTCTCCCACCTCGAAGAGTTGGCAGCTCTGGTTAGGGAATGATGCCAGATCTAAGCAAAGTTGACTTAAAGTACAGGTAATCTGGGAGACTAGTGGTGCTATGAATGCACACAGGACTCAACTCCCAGCTGGGTTCAGATTAAAAGAGTCTGGCTGAGATCCAGATGAGATGAAATTTACTACTTCATTTTGGGGAGTCTCGGCTTTCATTAATATACATCGGTATATCTTATAGAATTAAAAATATTTGAAGCAAGGAATAAAAATGAAAAAACAGTGTATACTGAAGAAAAGCGTATTCCTGTTCATTTGGCATAGATCAAATCAGTTGAACTCAGAACTATAGAATAAAATTACAGATACAGATGTCAAGAAAGGAATATTTGGAGAAAATAAAAATGAAAGCAACAATGATAAATTCTGATACCATTTGATAACATATATCATTTCATTTCAACAAAACATACTTCTACAATGCTATAGTAACAGCATTAAATTATGTGTTTTCATTCAAATGAAGTAAGAGAAGATTCTTGATGCTATGAATGCTATCTTCTTAGAGGAAATCATATCAATATTTTACCATAAGCCCCAATTGTTTATGTCATTAGAATATTAGGCTGTTTCCTCCTTGACTTCATTAAGATTATTCGTCATGTCAAGTTTTTGCTTTTCTATACTAGGAAGTATGCTGTTTTCCAAAGAGAATGAATGTAAGTAACAAAATTTCAAATCATCCAGCTGCCTTATTTTCCTATCTGGAAGCACAGGCCACAACCCCATTAGCAAGACATAGTAACTATAGCCTGATAAAATTAATTCCCAAGAATTACCTTAGAGTTTTAATCTTTTCCAAATGGAAGTCAACAAAATACAACAGTCACAATAATATTCAATTGATGAGCGCCAATACTTTCCTAGCTCTCCATGTTGTAGAGGGTGCCTTCATATATTTTATTAGCTTCTTTGGACTTCTCAAACATTCCTTGAGATAAGGAGATAAAGCATGATTAAAACATCTGTTTTCCAGAAGAGGAATCTATATGCCCAAGGACACATAGTTAACATGTGACAAAATCATCCTCAGGTCTTTCATTTCAAATTCCTTGCTCTTTCAACTATTTCTCAAGATAAATGCAAAAGAGATTATTTTTCTTTTGGTGTCATAAGAGAGCCCTGGCCTGGCCTAGGAATTGGGAGAACATAGTCCTCATGTGCCAGATCAGTGATTTGTATAGGCTGTGTGACCTTGTGTTTCCCTACATCAACTGTAAAATGAAGGCTCTGAACTAGATCATTTTAAGTACTTACAGCTGTAAAATCCAATGACTCTATTTAAAATAATGTAGGAAGCTTCAGAAAAATTGCATCTATAAGAAATTTTATTGCTGAAAGTTTCCCAGAATGTATCCTGCAAACTACAGTGCCACATGTGTTAATATATATTATGGCATAAAAGAATCTGTGGGTAATTGGTTTTGCGAAATGCAGAGTAAAACAAAATTAGGCATAATTTCTTTATGGCAGGACTTCTCTATGACTTCAGCATTCCAACTGCAGAGTGAAACTAGAGAAAGAGCATGGAGAGTGCACAGGTCCAGGTAGGGTCCATGGACATGATCATGGCAATAATGGTCCAGGAAAGTGTCTCTGAGAAAAGCCTCATGTCCAAACTGTCAGCGATGGTTCTCAATGGGTAAATCATGGCATCTCCTGATATCTCCTCTCTACCAAATGGACCTTGAGGTGGCTACGGGCTGTATATTTAAAGACATATCTGGTGGAATAAAATTTAAAGAAGTTTCTTAATAAATATAATTGCAAACTAAACTTTTAGACTGCCTTAATTCATAATCACCTCAACTGCCAAGATTATTTAGCAATATTGAAGAGATCGTTTCATTCTTCTTTACCTATAGCAGTGCTGGATAAAAGGATTTCTGGAATTTCTTAGAATTTCATATTAAGAATACCCGAGTATCTTTGCCTTAGTATGCTTGTTGATGTTGATAATATGATACAAAACTATTCGAGGAAGGTTCCCAAGATTCATGTTTCGATTAATCGCCACAACATGTACAGCAGCGCTTGCCTTCAAGATCATTGGGGGTGTGCAGGGTTGTCAAATTGGCACGCAGTGTCTACAATCTGATAATTTTTTTCTTATTACTGTTTTCAGGATGAGAATATGAAGCTGATCTGAATGCTTTTGACATCCATAGGCCTTGCAAGATAGTTCTACAATAACCATAACAGACAGGTTCTCTATACACATAAATCATAGGTAGTCCACAAGAAGGGGACTGTTACTTTCAGTTTGAAGAAAGATTTCTCCTGTTTTAAAACAGTATGACTATGTGCCTGCAAGACTTACAAAACATATATACATGTGCAAAGGCTCCATTCTTGATATATAATTTTAACAACTTTGTCTTATTTGTTTGTTTATTTTCATGTTGGTGGTGAATTACATGAAATTGACTTCCATTTATTTTTTCAGTAAACAGCTAGTTTTACAAACTACATTTGCTCCCTGAGTTAGTTATTCTTATTTTTATTTCAAAAACTGGGGTGGAGAAAGAATTGGAAAGAAGACCTACTACCATTCTTGAGAACTATTACTAATTTCGAGATGCACATCTCAATTTACTCCAGAAGCAATGGTTCATCCAGAGGTACCTTGGAATCAGTGATACATTTAATTAGACCCTATATCTTTTTGAGAAAAGCAAGGCCTGATATGAAGGCTCAGTGTGTGTATATTTTTGTGGAAAACGGAAAGAAATAGGAAAAGAAATTTTCTTTGCTTTCATAAAGTGATGTTTATATGAAATTATATTAGTTAAGTGCCTTAATCACAAACAGAAAGGATTGGATGGCAAGTCATCCACTTATTCTCTGTGTTTTTGCGTTTTTATATTTCTTCTAAAAATATACATATTGCCTGATTTCTCCCAGGTTGTGAGGCTGAATAAGGCAGATAGTTCCCCAGTTTCATGAAACTTTCAATGGAGTGTTTGTGTTTGGGAGGATAGGAGGAGCAGGAAATAAGAAGCAGAAATAGCCTGTGGAGTGTTCCTGAGTGTTTGGCGGAGAATATTTAAATGTCATGCAAAAAGAAAAGTGACTTAAATTTGTCCAGGGAAGCCTACTCTGAGGAGTGAATTTTATACTGAGATGTAATTGACAGAGCAAAACCAACCATACCAGGATTAGGAGAAGAGTTAACAGAAGAGTAGAGGTACCCAGGTAGGAGTGAGCCCACAGGTTAGGGGAACGGAGAGAAGGGAGCCCTGAGTCCTGATCATGCAGGATATTGTAAAGCCAAAGAGATAAATTTTACTTAAATTCAGGTTACAATGGAAAGCCACCAGCATATTTTAAGCAAGATTAAATGGCATGCTTTCTTTGGTTTTGAAGAGATATTCTGGCTACTATGTGCAGAAAGGAACCATAGACAGAGGAAAGCAGCTCAGAGACTGGAGGTGGGCTTGTCTCATTGACCATGGCCAGAGGCTAACAATTTGCAGCAGGAAGTGCTGGTGAGAAAAAATTGATGTATTTTAGGCTTTGATTCCATGTTTTAATAATGAGGTGTGGGAAGGCAAAATCATTGCATCTCACTCAATTCAAAGAGAAGAGCCACCAGTCTGAGAGGGAAGGTGGGTGGGAAGTGGAGAGCTTAGAGAAGTGTCTGCAAGATGAAGTAAGGATGAATGACAAGTCTTCTCAGCAAGCTGAAGCAGACTCAATAGATAAAAATGGGCATACGACTGCAAAGCATGTTTAACTTCTTGTGCTAGACCCATAAATGATTTAGACAGATTTTTTTTTCAGAAATTAAAAAAAGATCAGTCAAAGCAATTAAGAAAATGTAGGGACTGTGCTTTTATTCATTTCCACTTTGAACGCAGTGCTATGTTTGAAACTAGGAAGGATATGAAAGGTTGTTTTGAGAGTGCTCCCACTCAAAGACCTGTGCAAGATCATCTCCATCTCTGAGACCTAGCCCAGAGTGCTTACTAGTTAGATCTCATCTTTATATACTGAATTCATTATTTTTATCTTTCAAAATCAGAACATTTTCAAAAGAAAAGTTAAGTAGGAAAACAGAGCAGAACAACAGAAACATCTGAGGGTAAGAGGATAGGCATGTGGCCTGGGCAAGGATCCCCGAGGGGGAAGATGCCGATGAAGATCCTATTAGTGTTCACTTATCTTTCCTCAAAGGAAGACAAAAAATAAAGACCAGATGCCCTTTTCATCCTATCTTACATTCATTCCTCTTTCCCATTGTCGATCCTGTCATAGGCAGAAGATGGAAAGGGGAAGGCTTCATTGCAAGGGCTGATCAAAGATAAAGTTAGAAGGTCAGAAGACAAGGCAATGCATGCAGCCTCTGTAGTGGGGATGCGGAATCACGAACACGGCTTGGGCGTTAGACTGTCTTCAGCTGGCTTCCCAAGAAAGCTGCTTATTAGATTTGTGACCAGGATCAGGGGGAAATCCCTGGAGCCTCAGTTTTCATATCTTCATAAGGGGAAATGATAATAATAAAGATGCCTGGAGGATCATTTGTGAATACCTGTAAAATGCTTCCCACGGGGCCTGTGGCCAACCCACTTCACAATTGTTCACTCAATGTAATGGACGTTGGCATGTTGAAATGTAGATCACTCTTTTCTTCAAAGCCCTTTTGCTCTTTTATATGGTAAAGAGATGCTGGGATATGAAAGAGATTTGAAATAACTAGTTCCCCAAGTTAGACTAGAATGAACTGAAATAGAGAGGGGGTAGAGAGGGAGGGAAGGAGAGAGAGATTGAGAGAGAGAGAGAGAGAGAGAGAGAGAGAAACAGGAGGAGAGAGAAGAAAGGGGGAAGAGGAGAGGAGAGGAGAGGGAAGAAGAGAACAGGGCTAGAATGGAATGAGTTAGTCAGGAGCTAATTAATGACCAAAGAGGAAGAAAAGAAAGCAATGCAAACAAATGAAAATGCAGCCAAGGCAGAAACACACTGGATAGGAATATGCTTAACAGAGAAGTATCTTGCTGCTGTGCAGGCTGCCTCAATCTAAAATAGCATGAGTGCCTTCATTCATGGCCACGATCACTGAAGCGGCTCTGAAGTGGCTTCGTACCTGTAAAAATGGGCTTGTTTTGATTTTTTGAACATATAGTTAAAATTGTTGTCTTTATTGTAAAGGTTCATGTTTCATTTAATAGTCTACCAGAAGTATGAGGACATCATATAAAAACACTTAAATTAGAATGAAATAGTAATAAAAATAAAAATAAGAATAGCCATTTTATTGAGAGTTTAGCTGAGTGGGGCACTGACTTCTTTCCCTCCATTATCTAATGTTGAACTCCAGGCAGCAGGTTTTATATTTATGTTCACTTTAGAAATGAGGAAATGGATGTTTAAGAAGTTGAGTAACATCCGAAATATCCCCCAGTTATTAGCTGACTTCGGGACTCAGTCCTGGGTCTTCCTGACCCCAGACTTCAGTGTCCCTAACCACTATGTTAGGAAGAAAATATAGGAGATAGGGATGAATAAATGTAATCTTCCTCCACAGATGGGTAAAATCACAAGCTTGGGAGAACAGACACCATAATGTAGGAATTCTTCCCTGGACAAGTTGAAAATAATTCTATTTCAGTACATTAAAAGGCTTCACTCTGTTAAGATTTTGGAAAAGAATAAGCGAATTTGGTAGTGTAATTAACAGGCGGGGTAGTACTGTCCCTTATGGCTTGGCAATGAGCAGGAGGGCAGTTCACAATGGAGAGACGCAGACGCCTTTGGGGCGGTGCAGCTGTAGCGAAGTGCGCCTGGGACTGAGTGTGTCCCTGGGACTGCATGTGCCCCGCACCGCCGCCTGCCCTGCGCCAGGAGAACCCAGAGGACGGATGGGCCCAGACTGTCCTACCACCGTTTCAGCAGGCGCCGGTCTCTCCAGCAGCTCCTAAACAGCTTTTGTATGTCCTTTATCCAAAGTGTGTGGCTTATAGTCAGGTTCTGTGCTTTTGATGACAATCCTTTTTTTCGGTCGGGATCATTTTCATCTGTTGCCGCTTCTGTCCAACCTTTGCTCTTCCCCCTGATCCTTCTCACCCTGTCCCTTCCTGTGCCTGTCTGCACACCGACGTCCTCGGTCCTCGGGCTCCCTCATTCTCCGGGGTTCTTGGCTTGGTCTGACTGGGGACTTCTCACACCTAGCTTGTCGTGGCGCTCCAGGGCTATTGCATCTTGGTTAAAAGGCCTGTCTCTGCAGACTGAAGGTTTTCTGCGGTCAGGATCAGGCCTGTTCGGTGTCTCCCTGACCGCCCTTGGAGTCTGCTCAAGGTATATTGGCTGGAATGTTCTGAGAGACCGGCAGCCCAGGAGTGCTGAGTCGCTTATGTGTCCGCTGTTTACACTGTGCATGCGTGTGTGTGCAGGGAAACAGCCAGGCAGATGCACATGGTTATTTATATCTTCAGATTATTTCTGTGAGGAAAATTCTATCCTGGTGAAAGAGCTTGCTGTTGAGAAACAGTAACTGTACCCATGTAGACACCACAGTATTCACTCAATGTATTTGACAGGCACACTCATGTTGTCAGGGTAAAAGGAGGCAGCAGCCTCTTTGAAACGCAGGGACAGAGCAAGTGACAAGGAAAAAACACACAGCAGGTATGTCCAAATTGTTGTGCAACCAATTTTCAGAACTCTTTGATCTTGCAAAACTGAGACAGCCTATTACACAGCAACTCCCTATTCCCAGGTCTCCCCCAGCGCCTGACAGCCACCATTCTACTTTCTTTCTCTATGAATTGCATTACTCTGGATACCTCTTCCAGTTTTTATTACAGGCCTGCTTGATGTTGTAAAGAAATCAAATGTTTGGCCCAGTAGCCATCCTCCTCTCTGCTTGCTCCATCAACTGAAATTTAACTGGTAGCTTCAGTTCTAGAAGACAGAGCCCTGAGCGCTCCTGACTTGCACATGCGCTTGTATGTACACAAAATGCCCTGCTCCCTAGTGTCTGCCTGCAAGAATTCCTCCATATCCCTGCCCCAGGGCTTCCTGCTTTACTTTCTCTTCACATCCCTTCCTGTAGACTCGTTTGCAAAAAAAAAAAAAAAAAAAAAAAAATTATGTTTGCCTCGTGAGCTCCCGGGGCAGAGCTTTGCTGCCTCGCAGTTGCCCAGCCCACCACTCGCAAGAACAGTGTTCTTGAATTTTTTTTAATAAAATAAAATAAATTGTACTTTCATATTATACATTATAATTGAGTGTGGTAGAAATAAAATTTAATTTCAGGTGCTTCTGGTAATATGGCTCTGGGGTTTCTACTGAAAAAGTAAAAATTCAATAAAAGGTATTCTTTAGGGAAGTGTGTTTTTAAGCCTTTTAGACATTTAAAGCTAACTTTTGGTAAGGGTTCATTCACAAACTGTACACTCTTATGATTTCTATTCATATTTTCTCACTCTTGCTTAAAAACGTATTTTCTTAGAGAAGAACTGTTTTTTCAATAAAAATAGAATGAATTCCCATACATCAGTCTCTTCTCTGTAAGTGCCCTTCTGAGCCCCATGTACACAGAAGAGAGTGAAGACCAGTGAAGCCCTTTAGAGAGCTAAATAATAGATGCAGTTGAGTGTCTAACATCTATGCAGACTAGGTTCCTGATAGACATTGAATTAAATCTCCTGGCAGGCCAGGGTATTAATCTGAGGAGAAGGAAAGCCATGTGAGTTAAAAGGGGAAGTATCACAGAACAGAAGCAAGCAGTAGTACCTGAAGTAACCTTAGCAATAATAGCCTAATAAGAAATGAAGAAAAGGAGAGATGGGGAATAAATAAACTGGCATCAGAGACTCCTGGGAAAGACTCATAATTAGAGGTGCCATAAAAGGCAAAAGTAAATACAGAGCCTCAGTCTCCTAAAGCCTCAGGCTCAGAAACTTTGCTCCTGGCTGCTAGACCATGGAAGTTACTGTTTCCTTTATCCTGGAGGCAGGCTAGACTGAAATGATAAAGAATCTGGACTCTGACATTTAGATTTACAGTAGTGCACTATTGTTTGTAAGGGCATTATTGATTAGAGTAGGGCAAAAAGATGGGCCAAAATAATTTGTTTTAGTCTATCCTGTATTATGGTTACTTGTCTGTCTGCCACCAACTATGAAATGTGACTTTAGGAAAGCAAATACGGCTACCATTACATTTTGTCATAGTAAATGAATAAAAGTGAATCATTTTATCATTTTCAGGTGATCAATAATATTTGAAATAATATAATTAATCTTTTATCCATTTTTTAATTGTTATAAAATATTTTCCTGTTCCTTAAAGGTGTATAAAATATTTTGCTTTCAATTAAAAAATTAAATATATTACAAACAAAAAATCCTTGCCCTCTTTGGGCTTTCAGAGTATGTCGACTTTCTAAACAGTCTTTGTAGTGAAATAAAAAGCACTTTAAAAGTTAAATGATGTCAACCATTATGGAAAACTGTATGGCGATTCCTCAAGGATCTAGAACTAGATCTACCATATGACCCAGCCATCCCATTACTGGGTATATACCCAAAGGATTATAAATTATGCCTGCTAACAAAGACACATGCACACGTATGTTTATTGCAGCACTATTCACAATAGCAAAGACTTGGAATCAACCCAAATGTCCATCAGTGACAGACTGATTAAGAAATGTGGCACATATACACCATGGAATACTATGCAGCCATAAAAAAGGATGAGTTTGTGTCCTTTGTGGGACATGGATGCAGCTGGAAACCATCATTCTTAGCAAACTATCACAAGAACAGAAAACCAAACACCGCATGTTCTCACCTCATAGGTGGAACTGAACAATGAGATCACTTGGACTCAGGAAGGGAACATCACACACGGGGCCTATCATGGGGAGGGGGAGGGCGGGAGGGATTGCATTGGGAGTTATACCTGATGTAAATGACGGGTTGATGGGTGCAGCACACCAACATGGCACAATATACATATGTAACAAACCTGCACGTTATGCACATGTACCCTACAACTTAAAGTATAATAATAATAAATAAATTTAAAAAAAAGTTAAATGATGTCTTTAGAATATCTTTACCTTAATTTTTTGTTGTTGTTGTTGTTGTGGATATGAACATCATTAGTTGTTTACCACAGATCCTTGTTAAAAAAATAACTGATAGATAATAAAATCTATGGAGAAAATAATAGCTTTAAAAATAAAAGTCTTTGGAAAAAAATGAGCATGTTTTTCAAATTGACTTGATCCAATCAAACTCTTATGTCTCCTTTAAGTTAAAGACGCTCTCCTTCTAGTTCCATGTGAAATCATTTATAAAAAGAAAAAGTACATCTATGCCCTGGAGAATTACTCAGTGAGTATGTCATATCCTTCAGTTATAATATGTATGGGCACATGAAAATTTATAAGTCTCAGTGGTATGCAACTGCTCAAGTAGTTGGCATCTTAATCCTTCGTTTTGAGAGCTCGAAATATTTTGTGAGTTCAGATGACTGATTTCTTCAGCAAATGTTTTTGGCATTTTGGGCCCATCTGCTCTTTGTTAGACACAATTCTAAACTCTGGAAATACAAAAGAAATTCTGATAGCTAATTTTGAATCTTTTCTAATTTTGAATCTATAACTATATATATTCATTATATATAATGCAAAATATCATATATATGTATACATGTATACATACATAATGTGTGTGGGTTTATACATATGAAATTAATCAGGTGCTGTGGCTCATGTTTGTAATCCCAGCTACTCAGGAGGCTGAAGCAAAATAAATAAATAAATAAATATATATATATATATATTTGAGCCCAGGAGTTCAAGATCTGCCTGAGCTACATAGTGAGCCACTATCTCAAACAAACAAAACAAACAATGTGTGTGTGTATGTGTGTGATTATATTCACTTGACCAAGAGCCAAGGATGTTACCTTAACTTGCATTTACCTTTACAAGAAACAGATGGCTTAACCTAGTTGAGTTTAGATCATTCCTTGCTTTATTTTTAGAAAACTAATCTAGTGGATATTTGTCTATTAACGCTTATGTCCATGTTTCCTACAATTACTCACAGAAGATGTCAGAATACTTCAGAATTAGTATTAAATCCAAGAGATGGGAACTACAGTAAAATTGATGTAATCCAATTCAATTGAGTTGCAAAGTTATTGATTTTTAAAAAGCATTAAACATTATGCACTGTGTGTACTTTTAATACAGTTTTGCAAAGGCTACAGTGCTTGTCTAAAGTTATACCAATGAACCTTTATCAATGCAGTTTCCTCTCATCCCTACCCAAAGGATGCTTCAGGAAGAGGGGAATTTATACCACAGTAATTTCATGGACCATAAAACCTCAAGTGTTATGCCATAGTTATACAATCATTTTGATGCTTGACAGCTTGCCTTTGATACATAATTATATTATTTGAAACTCAGTTATAACTGAAAAAGGAAAAACATTAACATAGGAACTTTCTGATTAATCATTGTAAAGAGCGAGTTGTCTATTCATCAAGTAAAAGTTCAGACAACTTGAGGCAAAAAGAAGTTTGCACATTTTTCAAAATTCAAGTAACATCTTTATAAAATCGTGCATTTAATGTACTTTATGTATGTATCATTTATACTGCGTTCAATAAACATATCAAATTCAGTCTTTAAACATAAATAATGTGAATTTTATGTATTTAAAGAACCCTTTTGTTTTGTTTATTGGATTTCTATATACTTTATAAATAATCTCATTTGCTTTTTATTATTGAGAAGTGTATGAGATCATAGCTTAAGTAACCAAATGAGATAACATGTATAAGAGCGCTCACTGTGGTGCCTAAACTCCCAGTTATTCACTGCTCTTGCCCTGGATAGCCCTGACTTACTAGCTGAGGGCCAACATGGGTCCTTGTCAATCACAGCAGCTGGCAGAGGCCCCTATAGAAGGCTGGGATGGTGCTGTCTACTTCACTGTCCTGATGCTTCTAAAAGGTTTGCAGGAGAGTGGTATAGAATAATCATAGTTATTGAATTCTTTTTTTGCTCCCTTTTAAAGTAAGAAAATAATGTTACTCTACTGAAAATTTGAAACTATGTTTCATTTTATTCATGAGAAAATTCATTCCAAGTAAGATGAATGGGGGGGGTACTGTTATCTTGTGGCCTTGGTAGCATTTAATTTTCATGGATGTGCCAATTCAGTTTATTACTCTGAGGCAAAATTCTGCCTTGTTGTCTTCTATAACCACTGTATTTCTTACTATCCATCATACTAGTTTTCTTTCGTGACATTTTATCTTTCAAATATTAGATTAAAAATCCTATTTCAAATGAAGTTCAAACATTTGGCAATATAGCTCATGCTGTGAGCATTTCTTGTTTTTATTATTTCTAAACAATATATTTATCTGGGATTAGATAGGGTCAAATATAAATTATTTCCAATAGCAAATGAATGACTTGAGATATAAAATTATCCTTAATGTTTTACACCTAAATATAGGTGTATGGTTATACACACCTATGTTATGGTTTAATTACTTGTAACTTATGGTTCAATTACTTGTAACGTTTGCTGTAAAATTTTATTTAAAAAATAAATGTTGTTTTTAAATTTTATTTAAAAATAAGATCACTACATTTCATGAAAAGTAAATTGAAGAATCAATACTTTATAGTAGGAAGAGAATCAGCATGCTAACTGTAGCACAGCTTTAAAGAATTCTTACATGGCTGAGAATGAGATGGCACATTCCCCAACAATAGCATTAAAAATGTTTGGCTAGAGGTGTGTCACGGAAAGTAAGTTGCCTCTATAATCTTAAAATTGTAAGCATCTCTATCATAAAGCAATCTGTTCTTCTGTTGGAGTATGTTTTCTTACCTTTGCCTTACCAATTTCCAGAAGGAAAACTGTCTGAAAGGTGTTTTTGGTTGAATTCTAATTAATCAGCTTTCCCTCTGGTGGCCAGGATTAGATTCCTAAGGTACTAAAATGTCATAATAATGAATTGAGAATGAAAGTTTCAGAGGCATAAAGTGATGGTTGAAATATACTGAACATGTTATAA